TATAAATTAACATCTCTCCAACGCAAAAATACATCTTGAAAATATGAAAAGTATCTTCTACTCGGGTCAGCATTTAGTCGGACATTGTGCAATCATGCAGATGTGTTGCCCTCATGAGTCTGGTGCCCCTCTTAACGAAAGCCGAAGAATCAGATTAGGATTTTTTGCTGGATTTTTTGGGGGTCGTAAGTGGCGTCTTTGGGGAATTATCTTAAGTAAGTGACGCACAGCGCACACCAGAAGTGCATGGTCAGGTTCGCTTTAATTTTAGCGCAAGATTTCTTTCTTGAAGTTTGGGGAGGACAGAAATATCAGCGTCCCACAGGAAGTTTACGGGATGAGTGTTCAACCCTGACAAGGCTCTAACTGACTCACGTCGCTTCTGTTCAGTTTCCAGTGGAGGCAGAAGGAGCTTCAGTGTCTCGTGAAACAGACGAAGTGACTGTGATCTTTCAGAACAGCTTACGTAAAAACAAGCGGTTTAATTAATAAACGAATTATCCTTCAGTGCAACTGAAATGGATAAAACCTAGCTAGGTCCTGATGTAATATGCAGTTGAGAATCTGCTCAATCATGGGCAGAAATAAACCGGAAAACATCAACATATTCCGAGGAAATCAGCCGTAAATATGAAGCCAGTCTGAACTCACGACTGAAGTAATTTCTTACTTCTTACTTACGTAGACGCTGTCTTTGTGATCATGCGCCAAACTTGACACGGAAGCACGAATAGAATGAATGGTATTGTTTTCAGAGTGAAAAATCTATACCCAGTATCCTCTTTGGAGGTAAGAGTAACGGCTATAAGTGCATTTTTAGCTCATACGGTAAACGTTTGGATTCACCAAGAGGCGCCGAACAATGGATCATGGTACGGTGAAAAGAGTGGGGCATTCATGTTTACAGCTAAACTTTGGGGGGATACTTCATCACAAGATTTGGAAAATGACTGTTATTTATCGTGTAATGACTTGTCTGTTTCAGTTTCATTGCTGAAGGCAAGAAGCACTATTTTATTATGCAATGAGAATAATGACAAGTACTGGTAATTTGTAATACAATTTAACTCTTTATTTCCGAAGATTTGTTTTCTGCGGGGTAATTCTTGTGTAACAATAACGACGAAACCATTCTGGAGAATTTGTAGCTGAAATGCAATGTCATAAGACTCCCATTTCCTTAGTTAGGTTTGCCATGAATAAAAAATGACAGAGATTTGTAAATTTTCCTGATTTGTAAATTTTCCTATGCATTTTCCAGTCCAGATCCCGCCTTTTTCTCTAAAATATTAAGTGACCTTTGCAGTGATTCATGAGAGGGATGTGGCTCAAAGTCGCCATTAATTTCTTGCGGAAACACAGAAGAAGAGGTCAAGAATTTCAACCCTTCGGGCAGCGCGGTCCCTTTCCTATAGGGAAGGAAGTAACATTTAGACCTACCCAGCAACGTTACAGGAGCGGAGGTGTCCTCGGAAAAATTAACCTTCCAAATTAAGGCACCCTCATTCAGTGACGAAGGTCAGTTTAAATAGGACCTAACTGAAGCGCAGTCGTCATCACCAACTTAGCAGTTTTCTTCCCTTAAAACGACGACCGGCCATATCAGAGGCATTCACTGCTACAAACACACGCTGATCAAAAATGCAGGTCTGCAAAATATATTTCTTTTTTTCCTTTCTCAGTGGCACCCCAACCGTCAATATGTAATAGGAAAGCCTGCCACTGTGGGTAGCACAGTTGCAGACAAGTGAAATATCACCTCCAAGTTCATGACCATAGGCATTTCTTACCTTATACACAGGTATTTCGCACTGGAAGGAAATTTGACCGGGTGACAAAAACCTACAGGGTTTTAATAAGTATGAACCTGCAATAAAAGTGTCATAGGGCGCTCGAAAACAGCCCGCACGAGCCCCCTCTACCGTGTGTACAGGCAACAGAGGCTGGAAGAGCATAACATGTAACGTTTGGGAGACCTACCCGATACACGACTGAATCAAATGTACAGGCAATAACTTTCCCATGCCCTTTCTGAAACACGTGTAGCATCAAAGCTTATTTTTTAATCATTCGTCTTCCCAATTGTAATTTCTGGGCCACCTCCTTGGACTCCTAAAATCCACCCAGAATAATCTGGTCTATTAATAAACTTTCGTCAACTGGAAGTGAGTCATTTTTATCCATTTCTCCTAACCTGATCTGGGCAAAATCTATACTCTATCTTTAGCATTCACGCCTCCTTCTGCTGCCTGTATAGCGCAAGAATTTAGCAGAATATAGGAAAACGTAATTGCTCCACTCCCGCTACCCAAATGGGTGGAAGTTTGCTGACCACCATGTTTGTTGCGCATGTGCGCTTGAATGCATTCTTTCCTCCCAAAGGCCATATAGTTGCAGTTTCGTTCATTTTGGTAATACTTTGTTCCAGTGTAGTGTGGTTGATTTGTCTTGCTTCAGAAAAAGAACCAATTTCAGTAGTCATCCTTAATACATACTATTTTATTTCAGTTTATTCATTTGATTCAGCAACCAATTTTTTTCACATTCAAAACATTGGGGTGCTGGGGGAGATTCGACCTAAATCGGGGAGAATTTGTGATGGCAGCTGAACAAGTGTTAATTTATAGTCTTGTTTCAAAACGGCGTAAGAGACTGACATTAGTATGGAAATTTTATCTAAGAAACCTCTTGGGATCAAGACCAGTGCTGGCAAGCATGCATGTCTCTTACAGCTGTGGTGACATTTCTCACATGCCCTTACCAACGGGGCTATATTTAGTTGGATTGCTAGTTCATCCTATCGATAACGGAAGCACGTAGTTTAAGGTAAAGGGATAAGATTGAGACCTTACCAAGTATACTCTGAGGCCTTAACAGCACACCGAGTGAAGGCTCAAGGTCTGTTCTGTAAGTCCCTCAGTTATATGTGCTAATTAACATGCCTGTCTAGACCTACAGAGCTTTTCAAGATGCCTTGTACTGGAACCAGTCTTCATTTCTATCAAGCTTGCACGGGTGTTTCCTTGTACATGCACCTGTCTTCAAAACAGTCATCGCGAAAGTAGACCTTAAGGGAAAGAAGTACTACACCAAACGCAATCACTTTGGAAACCCTGTCAATGTGAGGACTATCATAATTACCAAATACAGGTAAAAGAAAATTAACTAAACCCAAGGAGACTGGGTGACGTGTACAGTGCATTAAAGTGCATTAAAACAGGTGATTTTCATTGTAAATTTACATGTATTAGTGGGTCAGAGTGGAATAGGAGAAATATTGTTCTCAAGTAAAATCTAGACAGACTTTACCAAGCGATTACATTCCTTGCACTTTGCAATTAAAAGCCACTCAGTAGTTGTTTTGAATAAGTGACTAAGAGATCTAAGTCCGTTGCATCGAACACGTCCTTTAAATTAGTGTCCGAAAAGGACGCAAACATTGACACATCTGTTTTCGTCGCCGTATTCCTTTTAGTCGGCTTTCAAAATTAGACTGTTCGACTGTTCAAAAGCTGCGGAAACAGTTAGGATGATCGAAACTGTTGAATAGTAAATCTCATCCACCACGGGCGAATGGGACTTAGACCAAATGAAAAAAAGAAATAATTAGTTTTGCATCAGGGCCCACCTCAAAAAATCTTGTCCCGTGGTTTTTTTCTTGGAAAGTTGTCTTTTCCGATGTCCTTAGCTGTCCCCCGTAGTGTCTACAACGCCCACACAACCTTGTGCACCCACAACGTGCAACTTGAGCACATACACACAATGTCATGTGTACGTCTGTGACGAGTCTGAAGTGAACATGGCGCTTTCGTTCCGTAGTTGCGGCAGTCCAGATCAGCATGCGTACCAAAGTACATGTCTTAAAAATCTTTTTTTAAAGTGGCCTTATTGAGGCCCCGTGTGAATGACGGCAATAGTAAATGTCACGTGATGTGAGTGACACCAACCATATGACTAGGATCTTTTTGTCATTTAAATGATAACAGATTATATTACCAATTCTGAAGAAAAGAGTCTTCAGAAAGATGCACAGCCCTTTTGGGTTTAATCCAGTCAATGATTACAAGTCGGTTTTAGCTCCCTTGGTCTCTGATCTCCATGACACCAGCTAGACGGCAAAAACTCTGCCCTCGTTCACCTCCCTGTGGCTTCTGAACCACCTGCAATGGTTACACAACTTTGGTTCCTGGGCCACTGGCATTGTTGAGCATGATGCGTATACATCCTGTTTGTTCCCCAAACTTTTCATTTTCCACTGAACTATTTTGAAAGATGTATTGTAATGTGCACGTGACTTCATGGGGTTCCTTCTTACAGCATACAATATTGTGTATGCACCTGAGCCACCCGAGGACTACCGCGTGCAAGAAGCTGACGAAACAGAGATGGGCACTCTAGAACTAAGCTTGCGATACCCGACCGGGGTCCACATTGGCGTGGAGCCTGACACTCACCAGTACAACGAGCGACTCATGGAAGACGACCACGATGATGATACGTGAGTACTATGACATAAGTAAGTTAGTGTCAAGATATTGAAAACACATTACCTTCAGAAATACCTGTTCAGGATATCGTTTCACTACTGAAATAAAAATTGTGTCCCTAACAATGTTCGCTATTTCAATGTTCGCTATTGCTGCCACACTTCGAAACGTTCCAAAGGTTTGACCAGAAGCTGTATAGTCATACAGGGTTCAACTAATATCTCCTGGCTTCGCTTGAAAATGATCAAAATGTTTGGGATCTCTGTACTCGTCCCACCATAGACTAGAACTCACTATTCTCTGCTTGCAGGCGTCCATATATTGCAACTTTGAACTTACAGCTATTGGAGTAGTACCGGGTAATGAAGCATGTGACATCTGGGCAGCGTTTTGTTTTTAATACAAGAATATTAAGCCTCTAAAGAATGGGAAAGGAGTAATTTGTGATGTTAAAGAGGAAAGGAATAGTGCAGTTGCGTTTAATAATGTGCAAGAATGGATCCTGCCTTTCAGTGACGATGTGTGGACGCTCCTGAGCATGATGCATGCGATGATGGTGGTCACCATCGTAATCGTGCTGGACACGGCCCAGATCTTTCTCCGCTACTCTGACGGGCAGAACGCAGTCACCCCGGCCCACGTGGAGGGCTTCTTCATCATGCTCTACCTGATCGCCATCGCCTGGATCCTGGTGGTAGTGGTGCTGAAGCGGCCGCTGCCCTCCAGTGACGACGAGGAGCGCACCGACGCCGAGGCCGGAAGCCGATACTTGTACGGTGAGTTCCATCCCACTGGTCTCCACAACTGGTACAGGGTGGTTGAAGAGCAAATGCATGACGCACTTTTTGTTAAGCACTCATTGGATAGAGTTCATGCAAAGAATAAACCAGGTAAACTTGAACTCTGAATATACATGAATGTATTTGAACAGCAGGTAATCCACAATGCGTGGCACACTCTGAAGGACAATTTGCCTGAGCGAATTCCCACGGACGCGTTCAACGCAGTACCTCTTAGGCCTACGCTTGCGTATTGCGCTACTGAAAACCTGCGGTGAACTAATGACGACCAAGGATCAAGATGGAAACGTCGAGTTTAACCAAGGGATCTTTTGAGATCCATCGCATGAGAAAATGCGTTTCAAAGCAAAGAAATCTTTTTATCGAATTCCAAATCTATATCGAAGAAAACCAAAGATCACGAAGGTCGCCTGATTGTGAAGTACAGACTTTTATTCTCAAACACTTCGTTGACAGTAAAATATGGCGTTTTCAACTCTGCACGATGAAACCCTACTAAGACACACTCCGTTTACTGACAACTGAGTCACTTACTTTTCTCTTCCTCTTACCGTTCAGTGGGCCTTCTGTTCTTCGGAACTGGCAGCTGTCTGTGGATGATCATGCGTACTGCCACCTACATAGAGCTGAGCGGGAAAAACTGCGGTAACCAGGGAGTCTTTGCTTGCGGGAATATACTCTGCGTGGCCTTCACCATGCTACAGATCTACTATTTCTGGCGGTTTTCCAAGTACTGTTTGGTTCGTTGGAAGCCTGTCGCCAAGTACGTATATGAAAAAGCAAACTCAACCAGAAAATAATGCCATCGGCATTTTTAAAAGTGTTGCTTTTTGGTCGACCTATTGACCCTGCCAGAGCAGCCTATTTGGTGTGCCCTTCAACATGCCTTCAGTGAAGCGCGCCATTGGTAATTTGGGATAACCAATTCCCGCGAAATGCGCTCTCCTACCAGTGAGGCTTGTTTTGGCTTAGCATAACAACAAAAGGAAAAAATGTTCACGCTAGAATATATACAACATTAACCCACGCCCAAAAGGGCTTTTCAGTACCAAATATAACTCAAGACATGCCACAGCGTAGCCGGTAAAGTAACGGCGTATTTTTTCGGTGGTGTCTTTGTGTTTCCTTAGTCTTTTGTCGGGGAGGCATTTTTGTGGGGCGTTTGTTCGGACCATCCGCTGTTACAATGCTCCAATCAATGTGGACCTTGTGTGTAGAGTGATAGTCTATGTAAGTATTTGTCCGCTACCTGTAACCACAGCCCTTACACTCCTTGTCGGTTCTCGAACGTCTTTAATTTCACGTCAAAGGGAGGATAAGACAATATTGCCCTTCTTATTTCTTTCAACACAGACTTGCCGTTATGCACCTCATGGCAACAAATGCGGCACTTTGTGTGCGCACTTTAGTGGAAGAAACATGGGAGGACTTTCTCTTGGACTATCTCAAGTCTAGCATGACCAAAGGCGATGGAGGTAGGACTTACAAAGGCCACGACTTAAGAACGGTACCTTTAGTAAAATTAAACGTCACTCAGAGGAATCATGACACATCTCACAAGGACGTTTTGTCCATTTGCCAATAATGGTGAATTACCAAAATGGGAGAAATAAAATTTGGCCGTATAACCGGACTTAGTACAAAGCATTTACATGTACATGTACTGTTCAGCATTCATATAAGGTTGTTTAATTAGTGAACGTGTACATATTTTCAAATTCAACTTGAAAATTGATTCCACGGTTGGTCGAGAGTCCACAAAATATCATGGTAGTCTTTCATGAAACGACGAAGTATAAAAATGTAGTGAAGGCGCCGACTGAAGGTTCTTGAACGTATTGTACTTAGGAGATTATGCATTCATTGAGGGACCCTGGGCAATAGAGGGCAATGGGCTCGCAAATTTACCGAGGGCCCCCTGTTTAAATTCGTGTAGAAAACACATCGGAAGTCGTCCAGATTTTCAAGTATGAGCAAATGAGGGGTCATTATGAAGAACAAGGGCCTCAATTGCAGGTGAAAACTCACATGTTGGGGAGAGGGAGGCTGGCTGTTCTTTAGGACTTGGAACTTAGGACTACCTAAGAGAAAAGAGAACCCTTAGTTCTCGTCGTCAATAGATAGTATGTACAAACTAAAGGGAAAGTATGTTCATAATAGCAAAACCAGACAGCTTCGATTGAGTGTGCATGTGCTCGCGCCACTCACTTTCACTTACACAGTTGTTCCTAAACAATTCCTAATATTTTTGAGAGCGTGTTTCTGCTTTTTCGCCAGGTTACACCGGCAAGCTGGGTCATCTTGTGTCAGATAGTTCTGCAATGGGCCATGGAAATCTGTACTCGAAAGGTTATTCGTGTAAGTAGCATAGGCAGTGTCTCAGATCTGTTTTTTTCAGGACTTAGTGAGCTATCTTGAAATGAAAATGAGGCAACTCTGACGAATGAGGTTAAAGATGTAGCAAATTAGGTTACCCCGTGCTCCAATAAGTAGTTTGATATTATCGGTAAAAACCCCATGTCAGGTTTTGTCCAAAGATGCATTGGGGATAAGGAGATAATGCACATTCTCACTGTCAGTCTTCCATCTTCCACTCAATCAGTCTTCCATCTTCCCACTCAAAAGCGCCTTATGATAACATGATTTGGGGAGCAGGATTACGAAACGAAATCTTAACCCTACTTATTTCCCCCCATTTCTAAAAGACAACGGAACTTTCAACAATACCGGCGGGTACCCTATTGATCCTTGCTACATTGGCAAGACCGCTGAAGGGCTGAGTGGTGCAGTCTACAAGGCCTCCGTCTTTCTGTATTCCTTCACCATTGAGTACACCATCATTGCAGGCGCCATGGCCTACATCATGTGGCAGAATATCGGACGGAAGGTTCACCACCCGCATAAGGAACCTAGCAACCGGCAGTTCAACTTCAGCTTTGAGTGTGGTCTCCTGGTAGGCGTGCTTTGCACCATGTGTGGCGTCATCATTCTGATCCTCAACATCATCTACCTAGGTGACTACGAGAAGCGCGACCAGAGCTTCATGAGCTACCGCGGCTACCGCGTCTTTCTGAACATCGTCTGCATCGTCGCCTGTGTGGGCGCCTTCATCGGGATCCACAAAGGCGGCTGGCAGCAAGACCACCACTCCGGGCCTGCGCATCGTGTGGACGCGGCGCTGCTGCTCATCTGCGTCAGTGGGAGCCTCCTACAGAGCACTTACACCTTCGTGGCGGCCGTGTCCTCACTGAGTCAGATCCACTCCGGTCTGGTTTTCTTTGACGACTTCACGCACATCATACAGACCGTGCTGCAGTGCGTGTTGATACTGGACGCCATGCACCGCAAACCGCCGGCGGACTTCCGTCATACACGCACCAAGCAGCTACTCATGTTCCTCCTAGTGAGCAACATCACCTGGTGGCTGATCAGCACCTACGAGCTGAAAGGAGGCTACGATCTGTACGCCCTGGAGAACGGCTACTACGGGGCCACATCTTGGTACGTCATTGTCCATCTGGCAGCACCTTTGGAGATCTTGTTCCGGTTCCACTCAACTGCGTGCTTTTTTGAGGTTTGGAATTTACCGGGCGTGGAGGCGAATGGAGGACATCACCACTAGAGCGCGAGCAGACTTAAAAAACATGCTAGGCCTGCTGAAATTAGGTCAGCTTCGCATCCAAAATCTATGCATGCGTTGCTTTGTAAGAAGTGATGTGATATTTCAGACGTTCTTATGAAAGACCTGCTTACCAGATCTGTGCTTTAATAAACAACAAAGCATACGTCGGCTTAATTTACAAGCGCCACTGTTTTATTGCTCTGTGTACAATGTATAAATGATAAAATTTGAGCAAAAAGTCAAAACTGGCTTAACGCTTGGCATCAGCTTTATTTCTGTAACTTTATACATTAATGAAAACTTTACCCGGTTTAGTGGAAACATAACTGAGTGTAAAGAAGTTCATGTACACGTACACGTTGTATCAGGAGATGCAATGCATATAATTCTGATGGCAGTGATGATCTTAAGATCATATCCTTCCGCTAACATAAACTTCATCACGGTAATACTGAATCATTTTAATGTTTTGCTTTTGGTCTTAGTCTATTTTGGCTTTAGTATTGCCTGAAAGTTTTTTTTTTAAAGTTAACCAAGGTTGGGAGTGTACATGTATTGTTGAAAGTGTACAAAATGTAGCCCATATCCATGTAAAGATTGTTAAAAATATTTCTACCAGGTTAAAGGCGGGTGCCTGTCTATCTGGTCAACAAGCCATGCATGTCTCCTTTTTAATGAAAATGGCTGGGTACCATTATAAAATGTTACACTTCTGCAATATATTTGGCGATGGTAAGGATCTTGTATCATTTCATGCTAACTGTGTAATATATGTTTGATACACAGAGGACGTGAAGTACGTCACTATAAGTTTTAACATGCAAGCATGTGCGTTCCGAGCATCACGATATCTTTTAGTGTACCAGTGACGTCACTTGGACGTCCTCTTTTGAGGTGGGCGTAGGTGCACTACACAGGGCGGATCTTGGGAGTTGACAGCTCGCGTTTCCGTTGTTTCTGTTTTTACACATCACTCCCGTGAATGCTTTATGACCTTTTTGTTATCAAATTTTTCTCTCATATGAATGAAGGGTTCGCCAATACTTTCGTGCAATTATCTACATCATTTTCGTGGCCTATGATTATTAGAACAGTTGCATGATAATACGGCATATCGGGTAATGCTTTAGATTTGACTGTAAAACGTACAGATCTCTTGCATTACACTTCACCTTGAAATGTAAAATGTAATATGGGTTAGAATGTCACTACATAAACACTGTATCCCAGGTTTAGTTATTTTCAAATTTATGAATGTTTAGAATTGGTTGTAACCATGTGAAGTTCGATTAAATCAAATGTGTGTACAAGCGTTAATTTTAACTTGAAACGTATTACGAAATTCACCCCGCATACAAATTAGCCTACTCTTGATTAGAATACTCTTCGTAAATATAAGCACTACATTCTACCATTTTTTGTTTACTACAGAAATGTTCTGAATAATTACGAAAGTTGTTTTAACAATAAGTAAACTGCAATATTTCAACCATTTTACTGTCCTTCCATTTGCATTGCACCCAGCTTTCGTACTTTCTCTACGGTAGAAGTCATGGACTTGAAATTTAATGAAATCTGTCATTATACATTCGTTACTGCTTATGTTCTACATATTATTTTGAAACGCAAATAAACTGCTGATTGTATTTTAAAACATCTGTTGGACGAACTCTTCATGTGGGAGGTTTTGCATGCAAGGATTTAGCAAAAACTTTAGATCTTTACTGGGATATTTCTGTGCGAACTTGACAGACTCTCCTTTCATTTTCTGCAATTTACACACTAAACATCAACCAACGATAACAGCCTTCCCCTCTATCCTTGATGCTATTTAACCACTCATCTCGAAATGCACATTTTCAACTCAGAAACTGATAGGTTCGGAGTATAAAGCAAGACTTTGCTGGAGTTTCTTTTTTTTTCACCTCTGCCTGTCATGAAAGGTGCTGAAAAGGCCAATTTGTGTTTTGATGATCATTCAAGATTTCCAAAGAGCAAAGTTAAAATGTTAATGCTAGTAATGTTTAATGCAAGCTATGTATTACAAGCATGCTTGAAAAGATATCTTCTACATCAGATTCTGCCTGAAAGTATCAATCTTTACTTCCAAAGACAATGCTTCGATTTTCCATATAAACAATGTGACTTTGTCTTTGCTTTTAGTTTAAAGGCAAGTTCACCATGAAATTCCCATTTCAGTCACACACTTAGTCACACACGTAACGCGTCTTTTCCTTTCAACCACAGAATCTTTACCGGTACAAAGACTCACAAGGTAAAAACTATTTGGAGTATATTCTCCATGCAGATGGCTAACAGCAGACTAAAATCATGCATGACAATCTTACAGGGTGGATCAATAATACTTGTTAGAATGGGTGCACAAATCTGTACTTTTACCATCTATATTAGGATTTGAACGCACTTAAAATCTTTCACAAACATGGAAAACCATAATCCGAATTTCATGCTAGATACAAATCTAGGTATCGGCAATATAGCCAAGTTGGTATTACTTCCTCAAAGCTGCTAGAGATTCCCCAATGCTTACATTTATCGACCTTCATAAAGTACACGTTGATTTTTGTGGGTGGGATTGATATTGTAACTAGTAAGAAATTAAAGGTCGGTTCATACTTCATACTACGAAAGCGAACAAGAATGCGAATTTGTGACGTCAAATCAAATATGCTAACTCGTAAAAACTGAACACATTTCAACTCAAGAAAAATTTTGCCGCAAATTTTTCGTGATGTCAAATTCGCTTTATTTTCGCATTTGCCAGAAGTATGAACCAGCCTTTACCTATGTCTATCAGAAATTTAGCGCTGATAAACTAATTGGCATTTAAAGGCATTATCTCCAAAAATGTATCCCAATGACCGAAGTGATAAATAGGTCAGGCATAGCACATTCTCTCTCAGATGCATGTGGAAATATTATTGTGGCGCAATACCCTGCAAAGTCTTGCAGGATCATGCATATTCAATTAAGACAATTAATTACTCATGTCATGTCCTATGTGTTGTGTTTGTACCCATGGAGAAAAGCTCTGGGCCTAATCACCAAGGAGACGGTACACGCTTGCAATCCACACCGCCGCGTGCCGGATCTGCGCTAACAAAGCTGTCTGTATATGGCCAGACCCTTTACCGTACCCCTTTCTGTACTGATGCTAAATTCAGATTTCCGGTAGGGATTATTCTGGGATGCTAAGACTTCCTAACCTAATTCGCCCTGCTGACCCTAGGACAAGCTTTAAACAGATATCCTCATTGGTCATAAATGCATGATCATAACTAATCAGGAATGTCTTGCGAGCCACCCATATTTCTTCCAACACATTAAGTTCAAACTGTTTATCATGTTGGCAAAAAAATTACAATGAAGTTACTTAACAGATGGTGTAGTTAAATGGTATGCGGTTTTGGCAAGAAAGTTGCGACCGTTCCTATGATTCCGAGAGCGGGTCACCGCCTTCTGTATTTGCGGTCAGCTGTAAAAATACATGTATGTTATTTTACATTGTTTTATTAATCAAACTTCAGAAGATAAGCCCAAATTGCCTAAAGCTACTGCAAGGTGGTTTTTTATTTGTCTGCTCCGTCAATATTTTGAAAACCCTGCGCCTACTGTAACTTTTCATGTTACGTCACAGACGGTAAGAATTTACAAAATAATAATAATAATGAAAAAAAAAAACTAAACAGAAATTCCAAGCACGTCTCAAGGCATTATTCGAATCACCCATACATTCTACAAAATGATAAAACATTCAAAACAGTGCGTGTGCATTATTTGCGGCAGCCCTCTAAGCACTAAAAAACGAATGAATGTGATATGCATGCAAATACCTTTACAAATGGAAAAGTAATTCTATTCACGATGCACTGTACTGGTCTGCTTGCATATAAATGGACAAAATGCACTTATACTCCAATGACTCCAAATTATGCTTATGGTATCTCGTCATGAAGAATGTCATACACGTGTATAAGAGGACATGATGCCATACACAGACTGCTTCAAACTGTCGCATTGTAAATGAATTTGTAAATCACCTTCCTATTCTGAGTCATTCCATTTGCAGAGGTAAGTAGAAGGTTTCCTTAAAAGCATAAAAAGTAATTTTTTACCATGTAAAGCAGTCTGCTTTTCTATGCATACTGACATTCTATCACTGAGAATATTCCATTTATTTACACGCTCTTCATTATTACATTGACAAGAATGCAGTAAATACCTCTCCTAATGTACGGTATCTGAGTATTATATATTTTCTAAAGAACAATCTCCTTTTATATCACATTTTATGATGCTCTTATCACACTAGGCGTAATTTGGCAGAAACGTTCGGTATTCCTCTTGTTGCATGTGATTTACATCCATGCTAACTTCATGTCATCTGTTGGAGAAAAAAAGCCGGTCTGAAAACAAACTTGCTTCAGCCACATACAATGTCGTAGATGTTTCAACGCCAAATGTGTCACTGAACATTCTGCACGACTTCATTCGTCTCCCTCGAATGTCTATGATCCACCATTTACGCTGTGTCCGAACTGGGCATTCTGCGACTACGGCTATTTACCCCTTGGTAAAACCAATTAAAGCTGCAGGGCGCGTCCGAAACAGGCTTCTAGAACTATGGCTATGTATATATATTGTCGGCATGTTCCAACATATTTTAATGGACAAACGATATAAACCTCCAGTCAGCAGCTGGACATATAAAGCAATTTAAAACATCAAAGATGGCGAAAAGCAAACACTTGTGGGATATTTTATGTTTTAGGAGCCCTGGACTCATAATGAAAGCATAGTCACAAATTAAATCACAAGTAAAGGTGCCTTACCAAATGTGCGTCAACACTTGCACCAAACGTACGGTAGCGTATCAGTCAAAATCGCTCGCCCTGAGCAATTTTGACGGCCAAAGTGAAACGCACGAACGCATCATGCAAGCGACGCACCCATGATGCATATTTATGGAAAGGCGCCTTAACAGAGAATAAACAGTGAATCTCTGTACGCTTATCGGCTCAATTTATGACCAGAGAAGCGAATGACCAGTAGCCCTAACTAGCTTGATTACATCCCATCAAGCCAAGGTGTTACCAAACCGACCCCCGCGTACCAAACAATGCTATTTTAGCAAAGCAATGCATTTCTGTTATCGTTGTGGTAGGATGATACTGGTAGTGGTATGAACGATATATGGCATACACGGAACTACCTCATTGACCGATTGACCTACCGACTTACCAAAACGCAAAGATCAGCTTTCTCTATAGGGTTTAACTATATAACTCAGAGGCCAAGATATCGTGTTAGACTTGTTCCTGTGGTGTAAAATTCTCCTTCAGACTAGGCAGGGCCGAGCACGATAGAGGGTTGTTTACAAAACTTTTCGACCCCTGAGAACATGCTTTATCCCTGTATTTTTGGTGTCCTCAACAGTGCATCCTCAATCTGAACGTTTAATATACCAACGTGATTGTGCAAACACCTGTTCAGCAAAGAAAAGGAGGAAATAAAGGTCGTGACAAATACAGAAAACATTAGGCAGATACATACCCTCAGGAATATTTTCAGTGACTTCCAGGTGTTTTATCTCTGTGTTTCCCCCACGAGTGCTGATCATCTTGACATCAGTCGAGGCGTGCGGCTTGACAGGGCTCGCAAACCGGCGACGGATGCGGCCAAATGCTTGCTGAACCTATGGTACGAATCGCAGGTAACTGGTTGGTAAAAGGAAGAAACACTAAACAAAAAATAAGTAAAAAAATGCAGGCTGATTGCCCCCTGAGATATAAAAGAAAGGAGCACAGCAATCAGACAAACTCATTGCATGCCTGTTATCAAGGAATTCAAAGGTGAGGCTGCAATTTTGTCTCCAGAACCTCTAGTAAATTACTGAGTTTGATAGCAATTGAGTCCCGCCAATACCCAAACTCAAACTCGTGTTAGAGCTTTTACAGTATTCGGTTAGCCAAATACCTAAACAACACTGTGAAGACCGCTCTTAAAAATGACGATGATCGGGTAATCGGGTGATATGAATCAGGTAAGCCAACTCAAATCACAGAGAAGCTCCTAGCAATCGTAACAGCCGGATTTAAACGACTAAAAAAATTAAAAAAGTTTTAAGCGACTGGGTTTGCTTTCAAAGCAATTTGTAGAGAAACTCGAGTATTATAGAAAACGCGACGTCATGTTTTTTGCAGCGATATTGCAAATTAACAAAGCCTTTATTTTATACCAAATCTTTGTTTGTAGACGTTGCTCTCACAATAAAATCAATGATTCGATGATTGTATCTGCATAAAACACACCAGCACGACAGACTCCGCCCCGTGTTGACAATCTGTCTGTGAAATTTATGTGTGATGTTCTAAAACTGAAGGCTTTTGTTGTTAAACTTCAGACAGTATTTTTTAAGCCGTCTGAAGATCTCACCTCTTCAGTATTCAAGCAGTGTAAGACAAAGACGAACACGCCCTAAGGTGCAAAGAGAGAAAATAAAGAAACCAGATCTAAATCAATTATCATCTTCCTGTTTCCTGATGCACGCGATTGACTCCTTAATACAATTATATTGAAAAAAAAGTTCATTGCATTTCCCGATAGTCACAAAACCTGTCTATATATACCTGTGATGAGTTCAGAATGACGAAGAGATAATAGAAGACCAATTTGAAGTCACCAGATGCATTGATGCCTAACCCAAAGAGCCAGGTAAAGCCCATGACCGGTTGAACAATCAACAGTGCCCTCGTGAAAATTCTGGGAGGAAAAAAATCATAACAGCAGTCCTAGGTTCACAAACCCCAAGTCACTTTTGTTAAAATAAACCTAAGCTGACATTTGTACTACCTATAACCACATAATGGTGAAATTAGAAGCCTTTTTCCTTGAAAGCAAAATGAGTTTTCTTTATAGCTTTTGAACGGTTCTTAGCCAACCAGAACGTTCTTTTTTTGGATAGTAAAATCATGTTTTGGGTTCGAGTTCCCTAAAGATTACCGGTAACAAGGATCACAACGAATGAGCACGAAACAAACATGAAAACAGATACACTCAAACTCACGTCTGCAAAAATCCCTGTTTATAATTAGATGAAAAATTGAGGTCCTAAATATGTACTGAATCTGTAAAGATTATGGTGACTGAAACTGCAATACTCTGTTTCTGCTGCCAATGTAGACTTTGGTGCAGCTATTCTACGATTGTACCTTATTTTGGCAACTTCGGACTTCCTTTTCACGGCTTGCAGTTTCAGTAATGCCTCTAATATGCCGATCAGAAAGACCACATTTACCTATATTACAAAAACGCAGGTGAAATGGAATGTCAATTCATTAACAAAAGATTAGTAACCTCAATTTTCTAACTTTTTTGCGTATCTCTGATGTAATATGATCGCAGTGGTGTGCGTGAGTTAAACAACTTTCAGCACATAATTGAGTGACAGCAACGGGAGAAAATTGCAATTCTGAAAAAACCCAGTGAATTAAAACGATCAATATTTGGAAGAAATCGGCAAGTTTATCTTACCACCATAACGAAGATGACGGGAGCAATAAATGCCCATGTACTTTCGCCACTGAGCCAGCATCTTGGATAAAATGAGTTTTTAGTTAGTTTTAACTGTACAATGTACATTTCATTTCTTCAGTTCTGCGGCTGACATCGTCAGCTCGCAAAACAGCTGACCCGTAGGTTTACACATCTAAGCTCACAACAAGCTAAGTCATTACTTTAAAGCAACAGTGGGATAACACTTGAATGTCGATTAACAATGCAGTCTTGCCCTTGATTGATTGTTGACGAAAGCCTATTGGCGAGGTAAGACAATACCCGCAAACGAAAAAAATGACACAGTTAAGACGCGAAAGCGCACAACTGAGATGCGATTTCCTAAAATTTATGCTGACCTTTGTAGATATTTCAAAATCTGCACTAGAAAAATTGATTATTGCCACTCACTGACAGTAGACAAGAAGGCAAATGACCCGTCCTGGTTAAATGCAGTGAAACTGCAAATGGCTCTTATGTAACTTACTTGTTTTCCGTGCCATAACTATCCTCAGCTGAGACGAGGGTTATTACAAGCAGAGGGGCTGGTGTACCTGGAATGTACGGTTAGGTGTTGAAATAACACAGGATGCTTATTTGAAATCATGGTTGTTGCTATGTAGTAACTGTTTTTTTACTCGAAATTCAATATTAGTGATTACCAAAACTTTAAATAAATATGAAATGCAGTCTTTAGAAAATTGCAATCGTTGCCCAATTCATTTCAGTAAATTCAGTAAACAAAAGTGCCCTCAATAATGTATGAACATTATACTTCATTCTCTCTGGCCTAGAAGAGCAATAACCTCAGTGACTTATTCTACCAAATTAGGAAACCTGCATTTTTTTGATTTAAAAATATTTGGAAAAACAGCAAGCCAAACCAATTTTTGGGACTTTCACATTTTGTATCTGACAAACAAAATTTAAGACTTTTCTACATCTCAAACCACGTCTGAATCACTTGGCTTTGGCCTGAACCTACCTACAACTCCATGGGAACTAGCCAAAGCCACTACCACAGTCTCCTGCGCTGCCAAGTATTTTGACAAGGCTTTACATAAATTTAGTCAATCATTCTCTATGTGACTAAGATGCAAAACATAAGCTCTCTTTCTGTTCGAAATAAGGATAGGAAATATACAGTGAAAACGAAGCGGTGGTCAGGTTTCTGCACTCACCCCAACCTGCCAACAAGGGCTTCCAACGGCGAACTTCTCGGTGAAACGCAAACCTGGCACTGACGAGGAGCAAGGCGCCCTCTATCAACATCCAGCTGAACGAAGCCAGCAGAAAGTAGTGTAGCAACACTGCGACAGCCTTGCAGGTGGTCTTCTGCAGGGTGATAAAAGAAGCCCCAAAGCTGACCACCCTCGCTGTTAAGAATTGATATTTTTAAGCAAAATAGGCTTCTGAATGACGTAACAGCATAAAATAAGTTTTTTTAAAGGGATTTGGTCAAGGTGGTTTGCACTGTAGGTCTATAGTGGATGGGGGAAAGGGATTAATGTACATTGTATGCTGAAGGTGTCCCTCGTTCAAATCCTAAAATTTAATTTTGCTGTCTTTCTACTTCTTTTTTATTTTTATCCAGTTGGAAAAGATCACTTTCGAAAGGTTAGTCAATTCCCTGCTCAATTAATGTTGTGTAGCTTTAAATTCCGTTTTATTCAACGCGTTACCCATATCACATAATACGATAATATATGACTTCCATGTTTCGAATGTGGGCATTTGGATAAAAAAACCAGATTGTTGATGACATGCGTAGTTCAATCATGTGCAAACAGCACGATGGTTTGTCCCTTGACAGCATGTCACTCTTAGTGATAGTAACGCAAGAACCATCCTAGAAAGTGTTGTGGTTACCCGTTTCGTAAAGGCTAGATCATTCAAATAATATAATGTGAACCGAACTCACTCCTCACAAAGGATATCATAATGTCGAAAGAACTCACTACTCACAAAGGATATCGAATAAAAACTGCATGAACAAACTCCTTGATCTTCTTGAATTGTAAACTCGCTCACTCTGCCGAACAGTTTTGATTAATTCGAACAGAGAGTAACCCATTGCTTATGGGACATCGCCCTGAAGCATCTATCGCTGGTTGGATATTCTTGTCGATCTTCTGTCATTATTGGCAACCTTGGCCATAGACATTAGGCAAGAGAGGGAATTTAGCGTATTATTAACTACCATCGTCATTAATGTACTTACGTTTGACACACGGGCGTCGATTCCCGTCAGGAAAATGAGCTGTGACACCAGCAACGCAACAGACAAGTTGGCATGGACCATCCCACGTTCAGTCTTGTACATCCTTGTACGAGAAAAATATGAATTAGAAATCCTGCTACGCATGCACATTCATACATATACCGTTTTCCGACATGGATATTTTAGCTAATGGTGCATCAACATCATCTAGGCAGCTGCTAACATAAACCTTGCACAAGGTAGTGTCCCGTGCTTCTGAAAATTCGGAAATCAATGTAATGGGACGCTTAGATGTGACGAAAACTGCTCTTTCGCATTTATTTTCTGTTCAAAATTGTGCTACAAGTCGGCCCCAATTGGCTGTCTCGTTGGACCACATAAAAATGTGTATTTACACACACATACCGTAAGATTTTAATATATTTCGGGCTTAGGGAAAGAGTGACACTAAGCTGTCAGAAACTGAATGGCTGTCTTCATAGTAGACACGCACGCTTAAAAATCGACGACACGGATTATAGGGCCAAGACACGAGATCACAGACCGATTAGGCCTAAAGAAGGGACTTTTGTAAATTTCGATACACCTCTAATCAGAACAAACGATTGTCATCCTGCAAGAATTCCTAGAATTTCTTTTTTTTCCGATCCTGGGAATAGGCCCCTGGGGTTCATTAAACAACTGCAATTGCCAACAGGTACACATTGGCACACTGGTTGTACACGTTTTGCAGATATGGGTGCTTGCAAACCAGACAGGTTGGATATAGAATTAGAGAGGAAGTCGGTATCTTAAACCCCTTCTGGTTCGCAGGTACCAGTTCAGTCCCTATACTGGTTTGTTGCTGCCATCATCAGTCACACTAGGGTGGAGGTAATATATAAAGGTTTCTTCTTCGATCGGAAAGCAATTCATTTTTGCATGGGACAATGACATCGGTTGTGAAGAATTATATTCTTTAAATTGTGCATTTCTATCGTTGTAAGTACTGTAATAAACAGGTCAGTCGAAAAAGCACCTCACTTACTTCAAGACTGCGTAGATGACCAGCGTCAATGTCAGGCAGGCGATGGAAAGTGAGCCTCCAAGAATGGATAAGATATTCAAGGCTTTTTCGTCTCCCGGGGAGAGGGATTCCTACCAAATAAAGCAAAAGCATCTGGAGATAGAGACAAGCTTGTGCTGGGTCTCATGTATTTTGGGGGATCTGACCCAATTTGTGCTATTCCGTCAATGACTCTCGACAACAGAGGGACATAGGATTACTCAGTTGAGCCAAAAACACATCGTGGTTATTCAGCAAACCTACCTGATGCCTTTCATGTTTCTTGCGACTTCAATGACATCGGTCCCATCTTATTCGAAATAAGGGCTTACAAAAACCTTCAGATGCCTTATGTTATCAACCATATTATGGCAGTGAATATCGATACTGACAGTTGGCATATTCGTATATGAATATTCATTGAATATGAGACACTGCCTGTAGTTTGGTTACTGCCTATGGCAGTATCCCACATAGTATTTTGCTCTCTGAGGGCATTTTATGTGTGGTTCTGGCATTTCCCCCTTCATGCTCTTTGACCATCCAACATTTTCCCATGTAATTATTCTGAAAGAAAAGGTGTCCGCAGACACTGCACAACTGACCATAATTGAAAAGCTTCATCCCATAGGCTTGTTTATAGGCCTAATTTAAGAATTGTAACAGACTGCAGCTCAAGCTAAGATACCCTGGGATATCACCATCGGTCGAATATTGCCTGAGTACCAGAAGGAGGATAGGTCCCTTAGCCCTAATTTACAATCGAAAATTGTGTGTGCTATAATTATGTATAAGGGTCGGCAAATTTCAAAAACCATGCACTATGATTATAATGAAGTGGTACGTCCTTTCTGCAGAGTTAATGTGCGCATCAATCATTTACGAAATAAAAAGTACTGGTAAAAGTGGGATTATCATTTAGAGAAGGTAACTGAAGTGAAACTGTTGTCGGTTTTGGTTATCTGTACAAGCAAATTTCTAAAGGAAAAAAGGTTGCACCCGTATCAACAGATAGCCGGACTAGCACAAAATCAGGTGATTTTTGAAAATATTCTCTATTCCGAAAAAATGTACCAGCTGATCATTGCGTGACATTTCTGGAAAAAATGGCAATGCCTCTCTCAAACAATAATTCCATTTTACAATACTTCCCATAAAATGCATTCCATGAATGACTGAATAAAAAACCATTCGGGTATTTAGCTTAATCATGATTGTTGGAAATCAAATTGTTAGTCGGTCGTGTTTGTCGTTCATAACAATATCAGCCAGCATGCGGCGTCGTTTTACAATTACAATGTATACGTAATGCTGAGCCTGTTCACCGTTGGCCGCGATCCAGCGTGCCGCGCTGATTCGGCCTGGATACGACGCTTGATCGTGGGCTGTTCAGGATCGGGTTTCGGTGACCGCCTAATGACTTTGTCAACCTGACTCTGGATGGATATTCACGCAGGCAACGAGTGCACTGCATATTCATATATGTCCGTGCAGAGCGCCAATAGCAGCTCACGCTACTTTCAGACTCATTTATTTTATACATCCTTTTTAGGGAGTCGGGTTGGCAAGGTAGTTATTTCCTCGCCTTCCACCTCCGTGGTCCCAGGTTCGATTCCCGGCCTTGTCCGTAGGCTATGTGGATTAGATTTTCAGTCCCTGCCTGACTCCGTGGGTTTTACCCTGACTATTCCTCTGGGGTTTTCCTCCCACCTCTCAAACTGTTACTGCTTTTTATTGTCTCCTCTTTACTGATGTTGGTGCATGAAGGTCGTTTTGTGGGTGCCCGAGTCGCCCTTGTATGCCATCAGCTCAACCATGTTTAAATGTATTCATTGTTCCATGCTTAATGTCCTCATTGTACAGCGCATTTGAACATATCTATATGGAATTTGCGCTTTATAAATGAAAGAATTATACAGAAGGATGTCTATATTTGAACGGTGCCAGTTTCTTTAATCTTGCATTAATATCCTTTTCAATACGACGCTTTTATTGTAAATTATCTTTTTAAAATAATGTGCACACCCTTTTCAATGAACGAGACTGTGGTTTTTGCTAATAAACGCCCAACTGCCCAATGAACTGCCCGTAAAATAAATATTCATATAATCGGGATTCTTAGCCAATCAGAGTGTTGCGTCCAATTTTGATAGGAAGCCCCATACGTTGCGCATAAAAGGGCTAGCAGATTGTTCAAGTAGGTAACTGGGCACCGCCGAACACGCATATTGGGGAGCAAGGTTGCACTGACCGTTTCCGCGTGTTATTAAACTGCACGCCAAACCACGCGTTCGTGCATCGCAAGGACGGTGGACTACACTCGGCCAATTACTGACTTGATTTCAGGTCTACTATTTCTCTGACAGTATTAGGTGTAACAATAAACGTAAATTACGGAAGCGTAAGTAGGACATGACATGAACAAAAAATTGGGCCTGCTATTTCGCCCGGCGAAACAGTAATCCGCCCGGGCGAAATAGAAGGCAGAATTTTTTTTTCAGTTATGTCCTATGTACGCTTCCGTAGTAAATAGATAGTGCTTGTCTTTGAATAAATAATGATACCTCATTCGGATTGAGCTGCATTAGCACAGCGAAGCTGGTCAGGTGATTACACGAGCATGTGGTTGAATTAGCGCTCTCCTTGGCAACTGTGCACCCCTCACTAGACCACACCCCTTCATTGGTCTCACTGGCAACAGTATCAGAACAAAAAAGGTGAGAGTGAAAAGGTCAAATTAAAGGTGAAAAAAATAAAACAAATGAAATAAAACTGCAAGCTATGCTCAAATATAAACTAACATAAAAAACTGCGAACCAAAGCCACGCACTAAAACAAAAGTCCAAAAACCAACCCCCTTAAAGTGAGAATAAAACCTCTTACACAGAGAATCCCAAAGAAAAGACAATCGCTGTTATTGAAACCAAGCAAAAAGTTCACATTTGAAAACAATCCAATTGAAACCAAAACGAAATTAAAGGTGAAAAAATGAAAATGAACACATTATTTGGGTGGTCGTAATACAAAAATAGTAGAAATAATCCCTGGTCAAACAGGTAGCACAAAGTAGGCACATTGGCCCCTAGGAAGCTTTGGCCTGAAGCTTGCTGAAGTCGTTGATGGATAGGTAATACTCACTTATTGGTAATCTTCCAAAATGTACACGCCCTTTTCCCAGTGATCACCTAAGGGAAAACGTTTTAAGGAGCTTTTATTTCATGTACTGCAATGGCACAATGAAACATACCGATTGATTTCAGTGGAAACCTCAGCCACTGGCAGTGAAGAGGTCATACCGATTCAAAGCCAAAAAGACAATATCCATTACTAATAAAGTCAATTACTATATTGTAGCAAAGAAAAAACAAAAACAAAAAAAACAACAAAAAAACCAAAAAAAGCAACCCGTATTGAAGAAACCGCTGTGACACTGTAAATACAAGACCCATTATGAACGCATATTTCTGTTGATTGTAAACAATCAAAATTCAACACCTTTTTGCAAATAAACTCGTTTCAGTGTTCACCAAAATATACCATTGTGTCTAAATTTATTACAACATCAACACGTATTTGTTTAGCTATATGTTATTAAAATACAGCAGGTTACATGAAATTGGCAAATTGCAAGCAATAAAACTGCATACTCTCAAAACCCACAAAGATGGCAAAAGCCTGTCGCAACTCGGCGCTTCCAGTCTTAACAGAGTTTTGTTCGAAAATTAAGTCTCAAGTTTCATTGGACATTTTTACCCTTATCAAAGTTTAGACTGCAATTCAAATAAATAAATTTCCATTACATTAAATCTACTTCCTCCACGTGGCAAATGCAAGGGCTACTAGACGTGGCATACCTTTAAAGCAAAGCTTGTGTCATGCATGCCACTACGAGAAAGGAACAAGACAATAAAAAGGAAAGAAACAAAACACAAACGGGGAAAACACGTCACATGCATAAATGAACATCTAATAAAATAATGAATGAGAGGACTACGGCAGGGGCTACAGACTTGATCACACAATTAACTAGGACCCTAGGGACTAGGACGCATGAAATGTATTACATAAAATAAGATTTAGGATTCTGCTTGAAAGTGTTATAAAACCATGAACATAGGCCTATGATTGAAATCGGTAAGCTATTAAATAGTTTAGTTCCGGAATATTTGTATTGAAAAGTAGATGTTCTATGTTGAGGTGTATAAGTTACAGTGTAGCGTAAACATTTGTGAATGGTTATTGGGAAGTAGATGGTTAATTAAAATACTTATACATGGATGATGCTCGTTCATATTTATTCCAATTTGTGAGCCCTATAAGGTGCCCTAGTTGAACCCGACTTTCATTGTCCCGAAAATTCCCTGCATGATTGCATGGTTTTCTGACGGCAGCCAGATCATTATGCACATAAAGCCACTCCTAAATTTCATACTTTTTTGCGTGGGCAATCAACGTTTACTGAAATTCCACCCTCAGATGGTATTGAATTCCACGTCAAGATGATGTGCATTTCCCAATTTGAATCTGATGGCTAGCCATACGTTTACCAACCACTAGTGCCCAAAATATGACTTTGGGCGTGGAAAGACAGACCGAGTACTTTACCTGATTGTGTTGTAGTTGCAACTCGATAGGATTGTCCTGAAAGGAGAACAGTTCAGCTCCAGTGTCCTGTAGAGCCAGGACGATAGACACGACGTCTGTGACTAGGATGACATGAAGATCATTGGCCCTACTCGCGTCCAGGCCTGTGTCGCTTGAGAACTCTGACACTGACAACGGTAATGACGTTGTGTTGGCAAGGTCTGATGACCGCACCACTGCTAGAGCACCTATGATATTCAGTAAAAGAAAAACAAAAGGCATGGCCTAGGAATGACAAGATTGCTGCCTCCAAGATAAAATGATGTCGGTGTCACTGTTGATGTTTTCGTCCTGTTCAGTCGTTGATCTCATGGATTTTGCTGATTGAAGGCACAGCCCATCAATTGCAGCTATCCAAACTGAATGACGAGATTATTGGTGAAAGTGTGAACGGTTTGAAGATTATGATGGGACTGAATACCCTGTGAAACCGTTCTTTCTGGCGAGCTGTCTTTTTATAGAAGAAAACAATGCTAGACGCATATTTTGAAAATTGTTATTAAAAGCACGAACGGGCGTTGAAACGACACATGCGCGCACGGTTACTTTAACTCGTCGGTTCAGTCTCAGATGTCCGACGAATGAAAAACTTGCTTCTTTATATTTATATTTTTTCTGATATCTATGAGTTTAGTGAGTGATATCACCTGGCTGTATATGTGAGAGTGAATCCCAGACGCTGAATTCAGGTGCAATTCAAAACGCGACTCAGCAACCTTTATTTGAAATTTAAATTCTAGAAATCAGTGATTCCCCGGATTATACAGATGAAACTTCTTCAGGTTCGGGTAATTTGGTGCCTCAAAGGAACATTATGCACAATTGACAAATAATGGACACTATCTTTAAGGCAGTAGCAAACTTTGGAACGAAAATCCACTGCCACAAGACACACTGTATAAGTGATTCTCATAGCTGGTTTCGAATAGCCTGCAAATTCCCTGACCAGAGAATATGTGTAGCTCTGTTCGCTGGTTCACGAGCAGGAAATTGTAGATCTAAGTGAGTAGATGCGTCCCTCTTTTTTTTGTCGTATTTTCCCCTTGATTCCATTTTTATTCACGAAGGTCTTCTTTATATTCAATAATGTATCCCAGTGCCTGTTGAGCCTTTAAAAAGACGCATTTCTGATATCGTGTGAAATATTTTGAATGCCTGAAAGCTCCAGCAGAATCGATCGAAAATATCTAGATTTACATACATGACGTGTTTGGTGAACATAAAACATCTTGAGGTAAATTTATTTTTGTGTGCTTTTCCCCAATTAAAACTCTTTTAAACATTCAAGCTGTAACTCTTTCTTTGAGGGATTCTGTAATATATTAATGCATTTTTGAGCAAATGTTTTGTGTCTTGTTTTGGCAGAACATGTTATTATCAATATAAATAACACCACCTAGTGATCAGTTTCTCAGCTGTTATCATCCACGGTTGGTTTCAGACCTACAATTGATGGGCACTATGTAATGACATTATAATTGGGTGATCGAGATAATTAATTAAGGCCAACATTACACAAGTATTCTGCAGTTACAGTCATTAGGAACACGTTTTCAGAGAAGGGGTTCTTCCTGCATTCATCGCATCATATTTTTAATATTGAAAGTGTTATGTATTTAGGGAACTTTATATTCAATATTGCCTAGATTTTCCCGTGGTAAAACAGAAAAAGCTGGAGTATTTTCCTGATAATCAAGGCTCAACAATATGACACATCGCTGACGTTGAAATATTTTGTATTACCGATTCTGCCCTTCAGCGCTTTGCACGGTAGCAACAGCTCAAACCCTCCTGGGCCCACTTTGGTCCTGTGAGGGGCGGATATCGAAGCCAGTGAGCAAACGTTACAACTCAGTGACTCTGCAAGAACAAAACAAAAAAGTTCTACTAAGTACCAACTTGAAATGTACATTTGGCAGTAACAACAGTACAATGTTTCCGCTCGAAAATGGGCTATATTTTATAATACCTTCACATGCTCTTCATTGATCGGCTGAAGTTATAATTTTGGAAAAATCTCAATTAATTTTGTCGTTTGCTTCAGCGTACATTTTACTATTGTCTGCGGACTGTAGGATTCCGCAACGTTTTTCATAAAATAATGGCATCATTTAGAAGTAAAATAAAAGCTCTGCAGACATATTATGGATAAAGAAGGAATTGACGTCATGGATTCAATCAACATGGCGGGCATGCGCAGAATCACATCGAAATTTCCGCGACTGGAGCAATATTTTACGTGGGTCACGGGTTCAATACTGGAGACGGTAGGAGAAATGCAGTGGCACAATTTCAAGGGATGCAGTTACCAAAAACATGTCACTGTTTGCTACTCAGTATGAAGTAGAGCATTGCATGATTTCATATAGAAACGACCTCTCTCTTTCTTTGTAAGTCTTGAATCACGGAGCATAAGAACTATTCTTTTAAAATGGTTATCCATGCGTCAGGCCACTGAACTACAAAAGGTCATAGAAAAATTGTCTCTGCCAATATGCGCGTCATCATTGATGAAGTATCTACCGATATCCCTAAGCCCCACTGATCAACTGATCAAGTAGTTGGAAGTTCTGGCATAAAAGACTTCAGCAGTCATTATGAATCGGGTGAATGATTCAGAAATGGCAGAGAGCCAGGATACAAACAACAGTAATTGCTTTACCCGAGCGACCAACTGTATCGTCAGGCTCAGTATTTCTAAATAAATGATATGTGAGGCAACTACAAATTAATTGGAACCTCGGGCGGTGTGCCAGTTTCATGTTTCATTTTATCCATCATTTTTCAAGCCTTCTTTTGTGTTCGTTGCAGACATTATCAATACTTAAGTGGCAGTATACTGCTATGCCAGGGAGCGAGGTAATATTCATTATACTCACATTCATGCACAATTTTTTTCGGCTTTCCAAAAGAGCACAATGCCATCTGTTCAAAAATTTACCGTATAAATTCATCCATTTGGTAGAATTTTCGAGATAAAATTATTTTGAATTTGCAACATATATTTGTTAATTTCAGTGAAACTCGATAGACCATTGGGGAAAAAACCCTATCCTAATCAATAGCGCCGGAGGTATATTTGTGACCTACCATTCCAAAACCAGACTGAAGTAAATAATTCGATGTGTGACATTTCCTTTCCCTCACGGTTGGGATTCATATTTATAAGTGATCTAAAGTAATATTTCTCTCTTTAGGAAGCTTTGGTGGATGTGAAAACTTGAAGTTTGAAAATTTGCCCTTTTAGTGAATAGTTTTTCCCCAACAATTATGGAAAATGTGTTCATGAATAAGCAAACAAAGCATTTCTTTTCCTGCAAAATAAAATGGCCGTTCAAAATCCTTGTTTCAGTATGACGTGATAACTTTATTACCATGAGGGTATATTCTGTGGTACAAAACGGCATGTGTTTTCCGTAATGGCACTGAATTTAGCATGTTTCTTCTCGTTTTAGCTCGAAGTCAAAGACATGTCCGCTTCTTGTAGTCCTTTTAATTCATCATCAATGTTATTCGCTATTGCATCAAATTTCCAGCGAAGTATTATTCAAGTTATTCCTTTTTAAGTATTGGAACTCAGCTAGATATTGGCAAAAAGTACAGTCAAAGGAATGTTTGATTGACGGACTACACGTTTGGATATGTGCATGACGACTAAACTACATTTACTCACATTTCTTTGTGCATAAGAACAAACACACGAATAATCTAATTCGTAATTCGACCACCAGAATTAGAGGCCACTACTGCGGTGGCACAATGCTCACCGACAGATGGTACGCGCGCGTTACATGCCTCTTCGACCAATAGGGTGTCGTGATTTGCCAAATGCAGTTATGGAATCTAATCGGATTAGTCTATAAGACCTGCAATACATTGATTAAAAAGTATAATGAGCCGATCAAAGTTGTGTCATGATTTGTATAAGTCTGTATACTTTTTTAAAAATGAAAGCAGATTAAATGAACTTAAGTTATCTCGAATGAAAACAATGCTCGATTCGGCCTGTGCTACAATAGAAACTCGATTTTGTGCGAATTGGAATACACATTCGTAATAATAGGTAACGCAAGCGTATGGTAAAACCAAAAGCCTAATCGTGTATTCGTAATTCTTTAAATGACTCGATTTGAACATTTATTTATTTCAGTAATGAAGTGAAATCGATTGATCATTAATGCAGAACTGAAACCAGGATATAAGGTACATCGTTCCCAAACTCAGCGCCAAAGTTAAGGTGGACAATCACGGTCATTTGTAATTATACGGTAGGGCCTAAGGTAACATTGATTCGGGCAACCAATCAGCTAACGATAACAACGTTATGTGAAATGATACTGAGAGTCTCCCTGTAAATGCAACTAAAATGCTAACGTTCTATAGGTAGTACGTGTATGCCAATGGAACTGACAAAAAACCTTCCAAAGGAGGAAACATGGTAGAGCTTACCAGACTTGGTCAAGGTTATATTCTCCCTGGAGCCATTCTTTCTACAGTGCCTGATTAACTCACGGGCTCGTTTATCCATGATAGCGTAATCACTTTCCTTCTGAAAATTTAAAAGCAACAAGTCCGTGAGATCGCTCAGTAAAAGCTTATTTAGATACATAACATTAGGTTTAATGCAGCTGACGTGAAGTAATTCTTTGCATAGAAGTTTACCAATATTCAGTGTAATACATCACTGAAGACAAGGACAACAAAACAAAGAAACAGACGACAAACAAAACAATACATTTGCACTCCAAAACCACGCCCATTATAAACGCGCCTATGCATTAATTATAAATATGTATCCGTATTAAATTAAACACTTTTTAGAAATAAGCGTATTTCAATGTTCAGAATTAAAGTGTTACCACCCGATAATTATGTTTTTGTGTCTTGTTCTTAACACCTAAATGCGTCATTGTGTCTAAATCTATTAACACATCAACCTGTATCATTTAAAAAATACACCATATAGTGCTTAGCTTTGGATTCATTAACACTGCAACACGTTCACAGGGTGTAAGCAGGAATGCGTGAGGACATCAACATTTGTTTTTACAGTTGTGGCGATTGGAAAACGTTGATTAAACCGAGATAAATTTTTTTTTGTCATGTGACCAGAATGCTGCTAGGCACGAAAGTTTTTATAGGCTGAACGTTTTGCATCAAGGTTCAAACACAGTGCCTAAAATACCGTGGGTCCCGCAGTAGGCACCATCGCCTTCCCACGAGGTGTACTCCAAGGTGCTGATGATGGATCGGTTGAGCTAGTGCTTAGACTTCTAATTATCGGGACGGTTGACTGCCAGTTGGTTGTCACCTCAGTTTTTGCAAGCAAAGATTGAGTGGAGGGGATGACAGTTGTCACGACGTCTTTCAAAGGTGCTGTTGAGGGCTTGGTTGAGCTTAAGTCTGGACTTAGTGCAGATACAGGTGTCAGAGTCTGTAAAATATGTGGAAACATATAGCGCATTCAAGGAGCATTTACACGTTACTGTCCTGGTAACGCCCAAAGAAATCGCAATCAAGAATATTTATGCAATAAATGTTCAGGGGCACTGATGTAAGATGATGCATTTGGATAGTTTCTAATGCAAGAGATTTTTTGGTACTGAAATATAAAGGCGATTAATGAATAATGCTATTAAGAAAATATATGTAAATAAGTTGAAAAAAAGAACAATAAGCTAAGGGGCACTTATAGAATACTTCCGAAGCCAGGGGCTTGGATACAGAACAAAAATGGAGACATAACTAAAACATTACAAAGATAAAACAATCGGACAAGCACAACTTCATAACACAAGGAATGAAGGCAAATAAAAGACTTAAAATTTATTAAAAAATCAAAATATAAAGTACACAAATCAATGGCAGAGGAAGTTAAAAAGAAAATAATAACAAACAATAATGCAACGATGAACAAATCCAGGAATTGGGTAAGAAATATGAATATGTTGCTGTACATAATTAAAATAAATGCAACATGCAATTACTACATAGAAGACTAAATTTTACAGAACAAAAACGACAAATAAGTAGACAAAAAACAAAAAGAGCAAGGAAAACGAAGAACGCAGGAGCCATGAATTATTGCAGAAAGAGCAAGAAATTATGTTGTATACTGTTTATTATAATGAGCCTTTAAAAACTGGCAACATTATACCGTGATGCACAGGTCAAATCCATTCCAGAGAAGACGGCCACAGAAACGCAGGATGTTCGGTGATGGGAAAGGCCTATGAATGGTACACGCGGGTTTCTGTGCCATCTAGCGTGTTATTGGTTAATACAATTTTCAGGAGTATGACTACTAGGATACGACTATGGAAGGCATATTATAAGGATATTTTTTCATTGCAACAAGTTTGGAGTTTATCAATGCATTGAGCGTTAATGCACGTGATTTAGCGACAGGGTTACATTGTGACCATGGGAGTACGACACTCTGCATATACAACTTGTTTTTTTTGGGTGGACTTTTATGGTATAATGGCGTTTATTAGTAGTTGTGCGTGTATAAACAATATTACAATAATTCAGAAAGGGGAGGATAAGCTTATTGTTTAATTTAATCTGAGTAGAGTGGTGCGTATGGTTAAGAATGAGCCAAGCTTGGGGAGTGCAACCAAGTTACGGCAAACTGTATCAGAAACAGACAATATGGTTTGAGTACAAGAGAGATAATCATCAATAATGACACCAATTCTATAGAATGAATTACTGATTGCAGTGATCATTAATCTTCACAGCTTAATGAGACGGTTAAGGTTAAAAGGCCTGCTGAAAAGTGTGTAGTTAGTCTCAGAGGACTTAAGGGAGAGTTTATTGCCCTGAACCACTTTTTTCGTAATCAAAGAAGATGTTTACAAGAGAGAGGTTAGAATGAGAAAATAGAACTGTGGTGTCATCCATAGCAAAAAGGATGAGAGATAATAGAGCAAAACAGCATTAACCTAGATCATTAACGTAGACCTGCTGAAGAAAAAGCAGAAGACCAAAGATATAGCCTCGGGGGACGCCTGATAGTTTGTCATAGAAGAACAATCGCAGTTTTCACAGAATTATCCGTTTCCTTTATCTTTGTAATCTGAGAAACATTGAAGGGCGACGGCGCTCATTCATGCTCAAGGCTTAACTCGACAACAAAAATGAATGGTCAATCAGATCAAAAGTCTAAGACGGATAAATAAATACGCCAACAGAGTGTGATTTTCGTAGAAGGTGTTAGAGGGGCTATCAACCAGTTAAGCAAGGACCATTATCTGTGGAATCCTTGTTCTGAAGCCGAATTATTGATCAAACTGAAGATGAGACTCGCAAAGGAACTGGAAAGACGCTTCTTTCCTTAGATTTCCTGAGAAACACGAAAGAGCAGAGACAGACCGATGACTGGAGAAGTAATGGCGATCACCGATTTTAAAGAATGTAGTTATCTTCTCCATTTTTAGATTAGAGGGGAGGAACCAATATGGAAGGACAAGTTGGAAATGTGCACAAGAGAATAAAAATAAGGGGAATGCAAGATTTCACTGCTGAGGAATGGGACAGCATCACAATCACAGGAAACAGTTCACGAACAGTTTGAGAGGTTCAGAAAGGATTGGTGGCAGGTATTTCTATCATGTGACATTCCTTTCAAGGAAATCTTAAGTTAATATATAATGTGTTTATTATATCAAGATGATAATAAGAATATCAAGATGTATGCCTATCGTGTGGATAATCTGCGAAGTGGGCATCAGTGGAAGTTGCCAGTGTTGATCCGACGGGATAAAGGAAGGATTTGAGGGTATCCGCAATGTTGGAAGGACTACAGATAGACTGATGATCACTGAGATTGAAATGATCAGGAAAATCACCGTTCTTATTTTTTCCCAAAATGTTGTTGATCTCGCACCACGTACTTCTGATGTTCTTCTTCAGAGCGGCGAACCTGCTTTGCAAATTGGTTTTTTCCTTGTCATCCGAATGACTTCAGTGAGATGATTATGACACTCTTGTATCTGCTTTTGTTAATTTAAGCATGAAGCACTGTGCATTAGCTCCAATCATCGGCTAATCAATACTGTAAGCTAGTATTCTTTAAATGCACTGAAACATTTTGATGCGATACTGCTACGAAGTATTCAATTCAATATTTTAAAATCTTTTTTCCAATTTTGCCACCAAACATTTTAATTAAAAGAATGCAGAAGATAAGCAATATGATTACAATAACTTTTTACGTCTCATGCTCTGAGTTGTTTAAAGAGTAGTGTATGTTTACAAGGCAAATAATTTCAGCAAACTCAGTTGATTTCCAGCGTGCTTGATAGAATATCAACAGCATAAGTATGAAGCACACTTATTGTATTGTCCCGCGTTTGAGGTGATATTAAATCAATTTTATTCATTTGTTGGTAGCGTTTGCGTTTTTGAGGAAACAATAATCCGACCAATGGGCCACCACGTCACTTTGCTTGATCAATAAAATGATCTTCAGACAAACAACTAATTAGGAAACCTGTAAGCAATGCCGACGAAAAGAAAACAAAATAGGAGAAGAAATACACCAGGATATTATTCATTCTGTAAGAAAAATAGAAATTGTAGAGTAAAGCTATTCATTCTACAAGAAGAATAGAAGTGCAAAGCTATTCATTTTATAAGAAGAATAGAAATGGTAGAATAAAAAAATATTAACAGTAATTGTGCACCCATTTTGCAATGTATGCTGGTCTATTTAACTCTTGGTCAAACGGAGAAGACTCACGCTTTCACCCTGGTCATCCTCGGACTCCATGCTGCAATGAGGTGTCGATCCTGTAGGATCTAAGACTAAATTTCCAGATCTTGTAACTTATAACCGTACAGAGAAGTGAAATGCAAAATGGATTCAATCAAACATACAAGAATAAATGGTGGTTAGGGAGAATGTTGATTATTCTCATTTAATTATTCTCATATTCATTTAACACTGTCTAAATGCCGTATGTGAGTCAGAAAGGTACGTGGAATTTTTTGATCGGAAATAATTGCTGCAAAATAAATGACAGTCTCTTTCAGAGCAATGAGAACTTTGGACCAACATGGCATATACGTTAAATTAATAGACGCATATAATTTTTGAGATAATAGTACAGGTTCTGCTCCTGTGGATGAGCTACATGAATTTGATTTTTACTTTTGAATGTTTCTGGTATATTTAGTCTCTCATTTCATTTGGTTGTGTGCTCGTCATCCCATTATAATTCTTTTGGCGTTTGACGTCTTGAAAGAATAGGCCTATGCTCATGGCGACTGCAATGTATAGCCATCGAAGATAGACCTCAAATTCAAGACGTCACGTTTTGTTTTCATGTACGCTTTTCTTTGGCAGTGGGGTGAGATGCCCCATATAGGTAAGCTTCAAGGTACATCGAGAGTAGAGTTTGAGTACAGTCTTTCCAGTAAATTTAACGTGTATGTAAAAAATCAAATGGGAGGATGCTTTAATTTCTTTCGAGTGTAAATTTTGTTAACAACAGTCTAATTTGCTCTTCTTGTGGCATTCCTGGCTCAACTACACAATGCCAAGCTGCTTTATCAAAACTAAAATGGTGCTATATACGTTGATGAGATATTTCCAGTGGGCCACATTCTTTTCCTGCATGGAGGGCAGATGGATGAAAGGGGTATATTCTGTATTCAAGAAAGGCTACGTACAGAGCTCCGCAGTGCTTAATTCTGATTTCCGTGACTGTCATATTAAGAACAACAAAGAACCATCACAAAATCAAAATATTATTAAGGTTCAATAGGTTTCCAATCTAAGTTAGTAGATTTGCCAACCAATGGCGAATCACTTAGTTATGAGCGACTTTTATTGCGATTTCAGATCGAACTGCAGTGAACTATGATAATTTGGTTAAGAAATCAACGATCAAATTAAAAAAGCTCAATCGGGCATTGAAATTCGCGCGAAAGCTAGTAAACTCGCAAATTTTGTCCCACGCCCAACTCTCATAAATTTCCTAGTACTGTCTTGCAGTTATTTTGACCCCAATTTGGTAAATATATCGGACATTAGCTCTCGCAAAACGCCTTTTTTTCTAAGACAAGTCAGCCAGAAATATCAACTTTTCCAATTTTTGATGTGCACATCGGTAACCGACACGCATGGGCAATAAACTATGTTGAAAACCAAAATACCCGAGATAAATTGCACTAAAACGTCACAACCAAGTTTCCAACGGACTCAGTTGTGTGAAAGTCAGGTTTCTAAAAGGTGGAATCCACCATTCCAGCTGTGAATAAAAGCCCCAATCTTTTATGATTAAAGAGACTCAATAAAACTCGACAAATTCGAGGCGTAAACAAAAATGCGTGTCTTGAAACTCGTTGAAACATAATGAAATTAATAAAACGTGAAACTAAAAGGGGAAATAAAATAACATTTCCAGTCTTATGTCTTGTTTCTTTTCTATTCGTCTGTATTTAAATGCAAAAAGAACTAAATAGAATGATCAAGAATAAAGACAAAAATGTAAACTTGCATACAAACAAGCTCTCATGCAGAACGGCACTTCGTCAACCGAGGATACGTTCAAAAATAATTAAACTGTTCCAATACTGAAAACGCATTTAAGCACTCAAAACTCTGATTTGACTGAACAAACAGACTTCATTACCTCTACTAGATGAAACTTAATTTGAATCTTATTTTCATCATTTTGGCCGGGAAAACTTCGATATTCTGGATAATTTGCATGTCTGTTGTGAACCAACGCTGGGAAGAGAAAAGAATAGTCATGACTGGCCTGTGACGGGACCCGCAGAGTAATGCAAACGTTAGTAGATGTCAGTATTATACGATCAGGGAACAAGTTGCAAATTTTTTAGATATTGAAGTGTATTTTCACGATTTGCGATGTCCCTCCATCAGACTGGCCGTGCATATCTCAATCCAATCATTGGTATCTTTGCGCCATACCATTCATTGGTCAGTGTGTGCAGTAACAATTATGCCCGATCTTGCGCCCGATCCGACCACCCACCGCTAGCGCTACTTATAAGTGAGGCCTGTGCAGCTAAATAGCCAAGCTGTAACTGTGGTGCTAATATATTATTGTATGATGCAATACAGAAAGAACACTTATAAGTGAGGCTTGCTCGGGCCTTCTGCTTCCAAATTTTTTTGATACTGACTAGTTTCACTTATAAGTGTGCCACTGTATTGCATCATACGATAATATATTAGCATCACAGTTCTTGCAGGCTATTTTGCTGCACAGGCCTCGCTTATAAGTTGCGGCGGGTAGTCGGATCGGGTGCATCTTGACGCAATGTGGCCTACAGTACTAAAGTACTGCCGTGTCAGGAGGTTGTGGCTACTGCCAACAGTAATATACTCACTTATGGAGGCCATATCGTCTCAACGCAAGTGCTACTCCTGGTCACAGCCAGTTGATTTGGAATTGGCATCAGTAGCCAATGCAATGATCGGTGCCAGCAAAGAAGAACCTATTAATTTGGTCTTAATCACCCTACAATCTTAACGATAATGTATTTTTGGGGTATTAACATTTTTTCTGCACAAAATATTTTTTTCGCATAAAGAATAATCATGAAAAGTTTCACCTGTTCTGCAGACGAAGTAACGATCCTGGTTGCCCTTCAACTCTTTACATTGCCTCAAATTCAATCCATAACTTTCATTTTTGGCAACACACGCGTTAGCTACAAAAAGATCAGAGTAGAATCGAAAGGAAAGCTTTTAGTAATCAGCAGTTGCTTTCAGGAACAAGAAAGTACAAAAAAAGGAGTAGTACATTGAAACCTTTTTTACTTCTCTTTGCAATGTCAGTTATGAAACCACACAACGAGCCTGGGATCTGTGGAAATATTTAACTGACTTTGGAAGAACCAGTAAAGTATTTTATCAGATTCTGTTGCTTGTTTTACCCTTCTCCAGGCTACATCCGATTCCATAGTGATCCTTGAAGGCCCATTTCCCCTTTCTGTTTCGCATACCCAAACAATCTCAACCTGACATGTCTTACCTTCTCAACCTCAACCACTTCTGCCATTTCTTTGATGCTCCTGTTGTTCATCATTCTCTAAGACTAATGCCTGCAATCCACCTCAACATTCTCACATCTTTTCTCTTGTTCTCTTGTAGTATGCGTTCGTTTTTCGTCAGTGCCCGCGTTTCAGCACCTTCTCATTAAGGGCACTGGTCTAAAACTATCTTGCATATAGTTTTGGGGTTTGTTTTACAAATCGTTCTCTGATTTGCCGTCAACACTAAGCTGTCAGCGAAAGGCATTTCTAAGAGTACACAAATAACTTTTGATCCATGGAGAAATTTTGTTCCGTGGAGAAATTTTGTTCAAAATTATGATTAAATCTAATTTTCGGGGTACGATAAGGGTCTGCCCCTCCCAAAGAAATCCCCTTTTACAGTTGTCTTAGTCACTCCTACACATCCTGCTCTTCAAACCTTTTGCACTCAAAAGTATGATTAACTCTCAGTGGGCTCCCGACTAAAACGATGACAAACAATAATAGTGCAGACCCTTGGCCCACGCCTTCGAAGCTTACCATCATTCCCTGTACTGTTTTGAAAATAGGTGTTCAGATACTCCTATCATGTAAACTGCACAAGACCAACTCCTGTGGGATTCTGCTACACCTGTTTAAGTCAGCAAACGCATGCTAGGGTATAATTTTCTCTTTCAAATGTTTCTCTTGTAGTTGTCTGAAGACAATCATCCTTGGAGCCCGTTTGGGTTAGAAACCTAACTATATTTGCTTGTAAGCTCTCTGTTTTTCTTGTCAAGAATCCTTTCCGTGATCTTCAACAACTTCTCCGTGAGTTGATTACCCTGTAGTTCCCGCAGTCGAACACATCTCTTTTTTGTTTGTAAACTCGGACGAGCACAGTTTTCCTCCGGGCTTCTGGCACAATCTTCGTTAGTCAGATGTTCAGGGGGATCCATCTGATTCCATGTTGGCAGAGTGTTTTGACCATTTTTTTTTAGCTATACCTCTGATGGTCCTCCTGCTTTGTTCATTTTCCTGATAGCCTCGTCAACCTCCTGCATTGTTATACTATTTGGATTTGTCTCTCCACTGGCAGTGTTTCAATCAGGTCTTCAGATATTCTTCTTCGTTCAACAGTAATCCCTCATTATTTTTCTCAAATAGGGTGTTCCCTTCTCTGTCTTTAATCACCTTCATTTTGTTGTTTCTGGGGGCTTTTTCGAGGGGGGGCATGGCCACCGTTGCCCCCTGGATCCTCCCTTTGGTTCCCGTCTTCTAGTTCTAGCTTTCTCTTCCCCATTAAACCAGTCCATCACAACTAATCGGTGTTGGTGAGTTCCTTTTCCCCTGGGTATATACATTTGCTTCTTAAACTAGCTTTCAGTCCTTGCTTCTTACCAAGTAATAGCCAATTTTTGTACTGCTGGCTCCTGTTGTGTATGTCATTAGGTGTTTTTCTATGTTCTGGACTATGATAGAGTATTGTTGCGAATTCTTCCGAACCTAATTTCTTCCTCGGTCCAGAGACTAACAAAACAGTCTCAAGGCTAAGGGATTCAGACTCGTTGGGTTGAAATATACCGCCGAAGGAAATGATTGCCTAAACCTGCTGAATATGTCACAACATAACACAGTAGGACACCTGATTTTGGGACTCAACGTAGGCCTAATTCTGGTATATAATAATCGAACAGATTCAAGGGGTATTGAACTTGACTGACTCGCTTATGTGCAACGCTGATTGGCCCGCAGTATGTCTGATCTTGCTGTTGGCTACCTTGCCGTGTGGCTGACTAGAATGCTTATAATTATAATTTAAAACAGGCAGAG